CAGATACAGGTATGCCCCTCCGCCCCATCGTGCTATGCACACAGGCCACTTGACAGACCAGCATTTTCCCACAATCATATTTAAGTTAAGAGCAAGGGAAATTCTTTTCTTTCTTTTTTTGGAGATAGAGTTTCACTCTGTCACCCTGGGTAGAGTACCTTTGGCATCACAGCTCACAGAAACCTCAAACTCTTGGGCTCAACTGATCTTCTTGCCTCCACCTCCCAACTAGCTAGGACTACAGGCGCCCGCCACAACACCTGGCTAGTTTTTCTATTTCTAGTTGAGACGGGGTCTTGCTCTTGCTCAGGCTGGTTTTCAACTCCTGAGCTCAGGGAATCCACCCACCTGAGCCTCCCAGAGTGCTAGGATTATAGGCATGAGCCTCCATGCCTGGACGACCAAGGGAAATCTTGAAAAGATTCATAAACAGCAGCAAAGGAGGACATGTGTATATGAAAGGGAAGTGGAACAGCTTAATTCACTTTCATTTACTCATATAGTCTTGGTGCTGGGCTTCGAGGCTGATTATATGGCTAATCGAGGGTGATCAGAAAAGAATTGAATTTTTTAAAAAACATATTACCCAGAAACAAGGTCACATGTAAACATGCAGTCAAGAGCAATTTGTACAAGAACTCTTCACAGTTTTTCCTACCATTATGCAAACATTTGCTATACACTCTAAGTCATATTACAGGTGATGGCCAATGATGTCACAATGACAGTCAAAATGTGGCCATGAGGAAGAGGTGTTAAAAAATGAATTGTATATAGATGTTCACACATAATCTAGACCAGTGGTTCTCAACCTGTGGGTCACGATCCCTTTGGGTGTTGAATGACCCTTTTACAGGGGTTGTCTAAATACATCCTGCATATCAGATATTTACATTACAATTCATAACAGTAACAAAATTACAGTTATGAAGTAGCAATAACAATAATTTTATGGTTAGGGGTCACCACAACATAAGGAACTGTATTAAAGGGTCGTGGCATTAAGAAGGTTGAGAACCACTGATCAAGACTATGGCCTAGATGCTCAGCCATACATTTTGAAAGCGTTTCATACTTTTTGATTCAATTTATATTTTAACTTAAAGTTGGATGAGGGTTTTACTTACGGTTGTTTTTTCAAAGCTCTCTCTCTTTTTTAAATGAGCAGCTGCCTTGTGGTCTGCTGCTCAAGGGGTCCCATGCCTGGTAGCGAGGACCATCACCATGGTGACCGTGCCCTGGGGGGGCTCTGCCTCAGGCTATGGTCTGCCTGGGAAGGCGTGTACCCTCACTGAGCTGCCTGTGGCTGGGAGAGTTTCAACAACTTTTTCCTGAAACAACAGGCTTGATGCTCCCTTGCTCCCCAGCAAAGATCTAATAAGCTACACCTTGTGATCAAAGAGAGGAATGACTTTATGGCTCCGGAGGGACCAGGGACCAGTGGTGGCTTGCACTTTTCACATGGTCCCTATCAATGCAGGAAACTCTGGGAAGAGCAGCGGGTGTAGCCACAGCAGCTGAGGTCCTGTAATGGGATGGCAGTGGCACTGGCAGTCCTTTCCCTGTTGGAATCAAAGAAGAGACCTTCCACAGGGCGCAGTGGGCTGCAGAGAGGTCCCTACGCCACAGGAGCTATCCCTGAGTTCTGCAGAAGGAGCCCAGAGAACTCCCCTCCTCTTCCCTCCTTGCTTAATCCACTATCACCCAGAACAGCCTCTTAGATCTCCTGGAAGAGCAGCCCTTAGAAACTGGGCAGAAGGGTAACAGAGACATAATTTCACACTCCCCTCCCACTGCCTACTGCAGATCCTGGCTCTTGGGCATTTCTGTAATGGTAGTGTCACGTATTCACTACCTGATAAACAGCTGGGCAGAATTAGGAAAGACATCTTGTTTTTCATCATCTTTTGTGTTTGCCAAATTTAAGTATACTAATAATTTCTAAATATAAATCACCAGGCATGAACCTATATGATACATTAAATGTAAAACAATACCTCCAATTCCACCTAAAATAATGGTTATATAGCTAGCAGCTATGAATTGAGAGCCTACTGTGTGCTGAGCCCTGGGTTAAGTACAGAATTTTATTTTTTTAGTGTAAATATCACAGAAAATGATTGGGTTATGTGGTGTTCATTTTACAAATGAAAACATTAAGAGTCAGAATGCATAAAAAGAAAAACTTGTCCAGGGTCACACTAGTAAGTGTGCAGTGTGTACTGGAGCAAAGATCCAAAGCCAGGGGAAACTCTGGCCCCTATTTTGCCTCCTTGAAGTCCAGGGTAGGAGAAAACCTGGAGAAGGTTAAAAGTTAGTGTTTGACCAAGTGAAGCAGCACTCGGGTTTAGATGGAGAACATAAAATGGTTCCTTCGGGCTCCAAATACTGAAATTGAAGAGTTGCCTTTTTGAATATAAAACAAATTGGTTTGGAGACACGTATATCCTGTAGCTGTCTTTCCTATTAAAGGTAGGTTAGGTAAGCCAAATAAACAGTTTCAAGGAGGGCTTGCGGGCATTTGTTGGTCAGATAATCAAGTACTTCCTTTTAAGTGTTACATTTTGGTTTTTGAGAAAACAATAAATATTGTCAGTTTCATATGGTTCATGCCTGGCATTTATCTATAAAGCATACAGACTCTATACACAAAGTTAACTATGGTTCTATTCTCTGAGCCGGGATACAGAACCTAACCAGCTAGTACAAAAACTTTTGGTTTAGGGCTCGGTGACGTAGCACAGTGGCACAGTGCCAGCCATATACACCAAGGATGGCAGGTTCAAACCTAGCCCAGGTTAGCTAAACAACAATGACAACTGCAACAAAAAATATCTGGGTACTGGGGAGGGGGGGCGCCTGTAGTCCCAGCTAGTTGAGAGGCTGAGGCAAGAGAATCGCTTAAGCCCAAGAGCTTAAGCCCAAGGTTGCTCTGCGCCGTGATGCCCCAGCACTCTATCAAGGGTGACATAGTGAGACTCTGTCTCAAAAAAAGAAAAAAAGAAAGAAAAATGTTTTTAGTTTGGATTTTGTTGAAAACTTTAGTAAAATGGCTCTTCCTCATTCTTAATCTTTTGTGTATGTCAGGAGTGGGAGGGGATCAGAAATTGAGTTTTTGAGACTCAAGTTTCTTTGATCATCACAGAACTAAAAAGTAGGTTTTGTTGTTTCTTTTGTTCTAACCATTTGATGGACCAGTGGCAAAACGACCAAACTTTCAGAATTTCAGTTTAATCATCTCTCAAATGAAGGGATGTGTGTGTTCCTTTCAGTTCTAAACATTTACAGAGAGTTAAGAATACACAGCTAACTTTGCTGGCAGAAATGCCAATACTTGGTCCTGCATTACTCCTCTCCCCAATATGGGCTTCCCTAAAAATCTACTAAAATCTACTCATTTACCATATAGGGATGAACCAACCTAGACAGGGTTTCTTTGCCTTGGATCTATGTGTCTAGGTCTGAATTATCAGATTTAGCAAATAAAACTACAGCACAAGCCATAAATCATATTTTAATATTAGTATGTCCCAGGCAGTATTTGAGATATACTAGGCAGTTTGGGGGAAGCCTGGCAGTTTCATACTAAACTGAAAGTCAGTTTGTGGTTGACCTGAAACTCAAGTGTAACTGGGTGACCTGTACTTTGTCTACCAATCCTGCTGTGCGTTGTGTTCAGGTGGATCCACGAGCCCTGTGGACTATCCTGAGACATATTGTGCCCGTGTGCTTCTGTGTCCTTAGCACAGTGTGGGTCAGGGCTTTCATGAATTTCTCAAAAAGGTTCAAAGCCCCCAGACAGATGCAGAAACACTGAACTGAAAATAATGTTGCCAAGAAATGGTACCTAATTGTACCTTTGTCTGTAAGAGGCCAAGTCCGTATGAAAGTGTTGCACTTAAATTCTTCCTGGCCCCAAACTAGTCCCAGATGAAAGTTCCTACAACTGGTTATAGAAAAGAGCTATTACTTTACATTTAAGAACATTCTCCTTCCCATTGCCCTCCACCCTTGCCTCTTGGGAGAGACTCTATGCAGGGCAAGCTGAAAAGCCATGTGTGCTAAAGTGTCACTGTCACTCTTATGCCAGAATGAGCTAGAATCCCAGAATGTCCACTTGCCAAAAGGGCGATCAGCTGCGCCTGCTCCCTGTCCCAGCCACATTCCAATCTCTGCATCTGTCGGGGCTCATCAGCACTACCTCCAGGAATAGAAACACTTCTGGCTTCTCCTGCTTGTCATCTTAAATCTAACTTGGGTGGCGGGGGGACATTTTACTATTCATTTCCAACCTGATTTTTAATATGAAACATAAATCAGTATAGCCACATATGCACGTTTAAAACAAAACCTGTTTTTTAGTCAAATAACAAATTTAACAAATAAAAATGTTTGTTTTAACAAATAAAAATGTTCTATGTTTTATTTAACACATACAAATTGTATTTTTTTTTTAACAGGACGGATTTCTACTTTGTCAAAAGGTTGTATTTCTGGAAATTTAAAGACTTGTCTGATTTTTGTGCTGCTGATATTGCTAAAAGGGATAACATTTTTTATCTAAAGTGATGTTTAAATGATTTCTGATAAAAATAAAGAAGGAATCCTAAACTTTATGAACAATGCTTAAGTATTGTCTCTACAAGCTAGGGAAAGAAAAAGACATCTTATGGTTTAGAGATGTAAAATTATTAGAAATTACAGGTAATACTACTTTCATAGGGCATTGCTCTTATGCATTGCTGTTACTGTGACATTGTCCTAACATACCACATTTCTAAAATTTCCAAAAAAATTTTTTTCTACATCCCAGCTACACACCAGGGACGTGAGCAATCTGACCCAGCTGTAGACTCCCTTTAGGAAATGAGCTCTACAACCACAAACACTCAGGCAGTCCCGCTCTGTCTCAGCCACACATTTACACGCACCTCGGGAAGATGGATCTAATCTAGGATGTAAGAGACGGGGAATTGGCAGCTGAGGTCCCAGCTCCTTACCCTCCTGTGTGAAGTGGCAGCCCGGCTTGAGATGAGGTTTTAGCAGCAGACTGCTCTCGGGAAGTGCTCTGTGCAGAGAGAGGAGAAGGAAAATCCCCGGGGGAAGCCACCAGCAGCCACCTGACAAGGCCCAGCTGCAGCAACTTTTAGAGTGACCCTTTGCCGTCCTGCTGGGTAAGGCAGGCTGAGCCTGCGCTCTGGCCTGGCGTGGCCGGTGTGAGCCCTCCTCTCCCTCTTTGGCCTTCAACTCTGGGCCATCCCGGGGCAGGGGGCGGGGCTCTGGTTGGTGGAGGGGGGTTGGGTTTCTGGACCAGACCAGTTGTTTATAAAAACCAAAAAAAAAAAAAAAGACTCAATTAGCCTGAGTGTGAGGAAAGAAAAATAATAAGAGTGAGTGTTTAATAGTTGGAAGCAGAAATTAGAGTAGAATAAGAAGGGAAGTTATGGGGAAAAAATTAGTTTCTAGACAGGTAAATTGCCTGTTCAGCTCAGGTCTTGGAGAAGATTGTGGTTATAAATAGACAATTCTTCAGAGGAGGAGCGCATGTTTACCAGGACAGGGGATATTCTGCAGCACCTCACATATGGCCCTGGCGTTTTTAGGGCCATGTTTAGTATAATAAAGTGAGGTTTATGACCAGTCTTTGACTATCCAGCGATCCACGGGGAGAGCTGAGATTAACACACACTCTGGAGCACATGCAGGCTGGGGAATATCTACTTTGGAAGCACTTCATGTGAAAAAAAAAAAAAAAAATTCAAGGGATTGTAATTGACCACAAGCTTCAAATAGGCACCAAGAGTGTTTAATGGCTGCTAAAAAAGCTAACATGGTATTAGGTGCCTTAATAGAAAATAGGTCATGGAAAAGAAATGTTCTTCATAAAAGGAAGATTATTCTTCATTAGTCAGAGGATGTGTTAAGCATTGCTTTGCTGCTTTGTCACGGTAAGAATTTACAGCACTCTCCAGAAAATGGCTGGAAGGAAGAAAACTCCGGAAGCTGTAGAAGCTGTGCATACTGGGAACCTGTGAAGAAAAACCCCACCAAGAGAGGACTCAAGAGACAGAGAGTCCTGCAAGCAGGCATTGTCGGGGCCGTTGTGCAGCAAAAAGACTCGCTGAAAATTTTTGTAGCCTAAGATGTCAAAAATTAGGCTCACTGGGTGGAAATTCCAAAAATCAAAATCAAAATCAAAAATAAGGAAGAAAAGTTCTGATTACAACTAGGTTCTCATGATGAAAATGGCAGCCTCGTCAAAGAGCCAGTTCCCTCATATTGGAAGGATGGAAATAAAAGACAGGACTCTTGGTCTGGCTGGGGCTAGCACTGTGTCCTCTCTGACATCTTTCAGCTCTAAGCCTCTATGATTCTACATGTCCTGGCCTCTCATTTTCCTGACACCTCTCCACTTGTTGGATAGCATCTGTCTTAGTGACCACTTCTGTTGAATTTAAGCCACCCTTTTAGCAGAGAAAACTATTCTGATTTCTTAAAAATTATTTGTTTCCACCATCAATCTCCAGCATTGTGGCAAAAGTGAATCAAAGAAGCTTATGTTATGGTTCACATCCAAGCACTCCTTCTTGATTCCACCTTCTTGACTCAGATAAAGATCTAGAGCAGTGGTTCTCAAACTGTGAGTCGCGACCCCCTTTTTAACAATGAAATTATGGCATTAGGAAGGTTGAGAACCACTGGTCTACAGCTTTCAAAATACATTACAGCATTAGGAAGGTTGAGAACCACTGGTCTAGAGCCTGACTGTAATAAAAGTCAGCTTTAGATCAGTATTTATTTATTTATTTTTTTTGAGACGGAGCCTCAAGCTATCCCCCTGGGTAGAGTGCCATGTCATCACACTCACAGCAACCTCCAACTCCTGGGCTCAAGCGAGTCTCCTGCCTCAGCCTCCCAAGTAGCTGGGACCACAGGTGCCCGCCACAACGC